TAGTCCATGTGTTTTCATTCAGCGATCCGAATCAGAATTCACCATACTTGCAGTATTTTTTTCAAATAAAAAGTGGATTTCATTGATAAAAGAAAGTAGTACAAAGCACGAAAGGAAATAAAAGAAAAAACAATACAGAAAAGGAAAAACAAAAGAACTAATCTAGATCCAAGGGAAATCTCTAGACTGGGACCCATTCCTCATGCTGTGGCGCCTTTTCCCCCTGTAAATCTTTAGTTGCGTATTCAGGTTATCTGTTGGCAAACAATTTTCCGAGGTAACGAAATTAGCTTTGCGACGGATCGCTCTCTTAAATTTAGAGTTCCTAATTTCCTCTTGGAGTGAAATGGGAAGACGACGATCATTTTCAGTTGCATGTCCCAGAAAGTCATCTGAGAAAAAAGAGTCATCAGAATGATCAAAATTGTCAGAGGCGTCTGAATAAGCCTGTATCAGTGACAACTGATGTTGGTTCCCTAGAGAGTAGATATGATGAGTCTCAGTATTTACTGCCTCGATTTGAGAGTTAAAAATCAATTTGGAGATGGAAACTGAGTCCTGTGTTTCAATAGTGCTCTCGAGCTGAAAAGAGATTGAGTCGTCGTGCCTACACTTTGGAAGCCCTGCAAAATTGGAGAAAATAGTGAGGAATTTAAGCAGGCTGGATTTGTGAGGCCCCATGGGAATATGAATGGAGCTTCCTTTCACTACAGTATATGTTGATGATTTGAATATAATTGGAACTCCCAATGAAATTGAATATACTGCTAAGTATCTCATGAAAGAATTTGAAATGAAAGATCTTGGGAGAACAAAATTTTGTCTCGGCATACAAATTGAACATTTGAGAAATGGTATTTTCATCCACCAATCAAATTATACCGAGCAACTTTTGAAGCGATTTTACATGGATAAAGCACATCCGCTCAATTCTCCATTGGTGGTTCGATCTCTCAACGTGCATGATGATCCTTTTCGACCTTGTGAAGATGAAGAAGAAATCCTTAGCCCCGAAATACCCTGTTTGAGTGCTATTGGAGCATTAATGTATTTGGCTAATAATACATGACCGGCTATTGCTTTTTTTTTTTTTTGTAAAATTATTTGCCAGGTATTGTTTTTTCCCGATAAGAAGACATTGGAATGGCGTCAAACATATATTCAACTATCTCAATGGTACAATCGATCTTGGATTGTATTTCAAGAATGGCGCAAATGCCACTTTAATTGGCTATGGCGATGCTGGATACTTGTCTGATCCACAAAAGGAAAAACCACAAACATGATATTTATTCACCTATGGTGTACCGCTATCTCATGGTGATCAATGAAGCAAACATTAACTGCAACATCATCAAATCATGCAGAATTAATTGCTCTTTATGAAGCAGGTTGAGTGTGTCTGGTTGAGATCAATGATCCAGCACATACAAAATGAATGCGGTATAAAATCTTTTACTTGTAATCCTACTGTGATTTATGAAGATAATACAACACGTATAGCTCAGATCAAAGGATGTTACATCAAAGGGGACAGAACAAAGCATATAGCACCAAAACTTTTCTGCACACATGATCTTGAGAAAGACGGAACGGTTGATATCAAACAAATCAAGTCATGCGACAACCCTACTGATTTATTCACACAGTCATTGACATCGAACAAATACGAAGAACTAGTCCACAAAATTGAAATGTGTCGTATTCGAGATATATGTTGAATTGAGGGGGAGTAATATAATGCACTGCACTCGTTTTCCCTTCATCAGGTTTTTATTCCCACTGGATTTTTCCTGACAAAGGTTTTTAACGAGACAGTACATTATAATACTATGAAACTAATACCCCAGAACAATTAGAAGATGACCATTCAATGGGGAGTGTTGAAACATAATTGAATTAGTCATCTTCCAACTATTCCTGATTAGGAATTATTATCACCATTATATAAATAATTAGGAAATCATAATTATAATTCTATGATGATAATTGTGTGGTTCACAATTATCCTCTAATCCTAAGTAGCTTAGCTTTTCTCATATAAATAGGAGTCTTCTCCATTGTAATTAACACATCACGTGAACTCCTTTATCAAACCATTAGAACATCTCTAATACACATCTTGTGTTTATTTCCTCCTTAATAAGTGTTCATACTATACTTTCTCTCCTTGATCTTTTGTTTATTTCCTTCCATTTTATAACAATATTTTATACTAAGTCCTGATTAAGAAATCCGTAATAGAGACAAAATGTGCCAAGCTCATGTCTAGACCAGCGCATGTGTAGATACTGGATAGGGTGTAATTGAGGAACTTCAACCACGAAACAAATTAACACAAAGCTTGATCGTGTTAAGCGCAAAGTTTTGTTATCTTGATTCTTGATGTAGAAAATTCAACTCCACTCAATCAAATTCAATCCAATTTTGTTAAATAATACGTAGTAAACTTTAGTTGCTTTTTAAAAATATTTTAATAAAAGGGTCCCAAAAATTATTAGAAGAATCAATATCTCTAATTGTTATAAATAAGTACAATAATAATAATAATATAAAATAGGTTGTAGTTTTTTTGGCAAATATTTCTAACATATTATTATAGTATTTGTTCTGTTAAGGCCAAATCCTTTAACTTGTGATCTTCTCTTTGAGAGTATGGTTAAAAAGTTACTTGGCAAATCGGTTGTAGTTAATGGTTAAAAAGTTAAAACTCCGTTTCAAATTAGAAACACTGCAATTTCGATTCTCATTTGGGTTTAACCGAATCTAGGGACAAGTATGTGTACATTACGAGTCTATGATTGATCCAACTATGCCGAATTGACGAACTGTAGTAATCAATCACTAAAAGATGTTGTCGTTATTTGCATAAAAAAGATGCATGGGTGATGTTTTAAAACATTTTTTTTGTTCTGCTCTACGTACGAGTGCCTATTTATCGGGTACACAACATTCACTTTTCACCTGATATTTGAAATTTCATTTTCATATCAACAATTGTAAACATTATTGTATATACTCATTTTCTTGTTTATCACTAACATTGAAACATAAGGAGTGACACGATTATTAAGGGAATTGAGTTTTTGTAATTAATATTGAATTGATAAAGTAAAAATAAAACAAGAATGATTTAGAATCACACAAATTTTATTAAATGTTGTTCAAAATATATGAAATGTTATTGGAACGAATAGAATATGAAATACGAAGTATGAAATAATATTAGAAGGAAGAGAGGAGTAGTTCCATACTTTACGTCTATCAACACACAACTTTGATCATTAATTATTAGCAAAGAATAGTACAAATCCCGTCTATCACTGTTTTGTGGGTTTGTATTTGGAATTAGAGAATCGTCCTCAAATATTAATTAGTTTTGTTGAACTTAATTGTTTGGTTTGTAGTATATTCAATTCAATCAGTTAAAACAATTATCTTTGTATTAGGCTTGTTCTATTTGGCTCACCGGTTATATTACAATACAGCTATTTAAAAGTGAATGAAATTAGCTGGTGGGTGATTACTGATTACTGATTAGAGCCCAAATCTTTGCCCGTTTTAAAACTTGACCTGACCATATCAAACAACTTGCTAATAATTATCATACAGTTTCTTATTATGTTCATTAAATATCGGTGAAGCAACCGAAAGATGTTCATCGAGAATTTTAGGTGGAGCATTTGATCTCCTTTTCTAATAGCTAACAACTCTCCACTTAACAAAAGTTTCCTAAAGTGAAGCGTAATGACATCAATGGATGAACCGTAATGATATCGAAAATATGATTCATCCACTTTTGAATCATTAATTTGTCTATATTTTAATGCTATTTGAATGCTTATTTGTCTATTAAAATACAGACAAAATGACAAAACCTATTGTAAAGCATTAAACCGCTTTACAACTTGTTTGATTATATTAAAAGTATAAAAAATTGGTGACAACTCCGGTACCTTTCTAAAATATGGGGTACCGTATGTATCATTCATTTGATTGAACCACATCACTTTATCATTTTTAATTTAGATTTTAATAATTCAACTACTTCATTCTCATTGGTCCATGTGGACAAAGGTATGCTATCTTATGGGTACCATAGAATCTACCTAAATAGATTACATTAAGTGTGGATGAATAATATTTTAGAAATGAAACAGTTTTGTCCATGTAAAGCTGTTCTTTGATACCTTTGGATAGGCATGGACCGGGCCCGGGACTGACCGGGCTTTTTGGGAGATAGTTGAGGCCCGGAACCGGCCCGGTTATCCACCGGGTCCGGACCAATTTTTTTTTTTTGCTTTTCTATTTAACCCCGACCCTCCAAACCACCCCAAAACACCCAGCCCAACCCGGGGAAAAAATTGAAAAAACAAAAAAAAAATTAAAAAAGCTCGAACCGGCCCCGGCCCGGCCGGGGTGACCCAAGCCCGCCCAACATAACCTCCGGGCCTACCCGAACCGGGCTTTGACGGGCCACCGGGCCGGGCCGATTCCAAACAATGCCGGACCCAGCCCATCACTACTTTTGGACGATTTTGAAAGCATAAACGTTAAACCATAGTTTGAAACACCTAGTTACACCAGTGTTGGTCAGTTCAGCTTTTGAACAGTTTGTCATACGTCTCCATTTGTAGTTTTTCTTGTCCACCGCTAAATGCAGACGTAGCATTTAGAAATAAATTTCTGTTGAAGCTGTGGCTAGTTCACCTGATATTGCTTATAGCCTTTTTTAAGCTAGAGGTTCTTGAATAAGTTGTACACAAAATATTAGCAAAACCATTTTCATCATGTTCAGAATGTCGTGGTTTGAATTAGTTAAGCAAAATACAAGGGGTATAAAAATCGGGTTCAGTTCAGTTCGGTTTAAAACGGGCCAGAAGAAAGATTATCAAAGAAAGGTGTACCATACTATGTTCTGGTTTGGTTCGACTCGGGTTTGTTCAGTTGGATTTGTTATTTTTTTTAAAAATGTATCAAGAGTTTATCAAGTATTTTAGTGCCGTTCGGTTTTATTCAGTTTTTAATGGTTCCGGTTCGGTTTGGTTTACTTTGGTTTGGAAGAAATACTACCAAATTCAAACCGTATTGCATATGGTTCAGTTTTGTTCGGTCAAACTGAACCGATTTGCCCACCCCTAACAAGAACAAAGCTCAAACCTAAAAATTAGTAGAGTTCGAGCAATGGTAGAGGAAGAGGACTGGACCACATCTACAGAACACCAGCATCAGGAAATCTCACTGGCTGCCGAATATATAATCCATCAACCATCACTTTCTCTTTTTATCATCCAGTTTGATAAGCTGAACAGGGGCTGCTAGTATCCTGCTCCACCACTCTCTAATCCTCCTAATAAACTTTTCACTGCTATTTCTCCTCAAAGGCATCTGCCTTGTGAAGTGCTCCAAGAATGAAATCAGCATCACCTGCTTGAGGGGTGCGAAAGCAATTACCACAGCAAGGAACAGCAAAAGGAGTACGGCCTTATCAGTTGCCTGCAGATAGAAGCATGCCAATTCAAAACCAATGCCGGAATTCTTAGACAACCAAGTCAATGCACATAATATAAAGGAAGTAAACTAACTCGTCAAGGATAGTGTCGATTTAATAAAGACTACAAGAATGTATGAGATGGAAATGGAAATGGAAATGACATATACTCCAGGTTAGTTTATAAAATTCCAATAGTAATATACTAATATTTAATAAAGACCCTAAAAACATAAGAGTGGGTCGTGATGATCAGAAGCAAATGGGAGTATAATTTAACAGGTTGGAAAATTCATATTTGACTAATCACGCAGTCCCAAATATTGTAATGATTTTATCGCATAACACTAAGGATGTTTTTACTTGAACTTATTTTAGTCCCAGACCATATCAGACCATATCAGACCAATTTAGCTTAGACCAGACTTCGATAGTTATAAAATACACAAAGACCAGACATTTACCATACCAGACCAGAAAATTTCAATTCAAGTAAAAACATCCTAAATGGTATAGAAATATTAGCCTTTGATTGTTTCACATACTTGGAGATCTCAAACACACACAAACATACTATTGGTCCAGATACACATAACCAATGGATATTGGTTAAAATGGAGAAGAGAGACATCATTACACTGATCATAATGTGCGTCCAAGACTGAAAATATGGTTTAGAACTCATAACAGTAAATGTATGTCGCATCACAATGGATGTGTAGTCAAGATGTGTCCGTTAAAATGGTTTGTGCTAGTATTAGAAAAGATAGAATTCATAACAAAACAATAATCCAAAAGTGGGTATAGCAGCAATTGAATATAAGGTGAAGGGGGGAATGACCACGACGGTTGGGGCATTGGGGATGTTTGTCATCAAGGGGTGTAAGTGCTCTAGTATAGAGAATAAAGTGTTGTAATGTTACTTAGAAATCTAAAAAAGAGTTGACATACAACTAAGATAACATGGATTATAGAAAAAACTATTAGGACGTCGAGAGTTCAGAAACATATGATAAATGATAGAAGACTGGGGGAAAGGTTTCTAGGAAATCTAGGAATTCTTGGCTGCAACCAAAAAAATTCTAAGAAAGATGAAGTTTTCAAAATGAAATGGATGATTATTTCAGTGATCTGTGGTGGTATTTACACAATAAGGGAGCTATTCTATAATGAAATATTCTAACATAATTACTCTAATAAATAAAAATATATTTTTCACTAATTAGAGTGATATAACGGTAGAGAATATTTTATTTCCTTTGTGAAGAATCCTGGTATATGTTTTCTTCTATACACCCCCTCAATTCATGTATTCGGTCACTCCCAAGAATCCTGAGCTTGTCTTTGAGAAGAGCGAAGCGCTGCCGCGGAAGGGGTTTGGTAAGGGACTAAGTGAATCAGCCAGTTGAGCATGAGAAGGAATATGAAGAACATGAAGAAGTCCCCGTTGAACTCCTTGACGAACAAAATGAAAGTCGATTGCTACATGATTCATACGGGAGTGAAAGACAAGATTTGCTGAAGAGGTAGTGGCGCCTTTGTTGTCATACGGGACAGGTGGAGACGTCAATGGATGTCGTAATTCATGAAGAGACTGAATCCATAGAACTTCAGTTGCAGCGGTGGACAATGCGCGGTAGTCCGCTTCCTCGGAGGATTTAGCAATGGAGCGTTGCTTGATGGACTTCCAAGAAATGAGGGACTCACCGAGAAAAATTACATAAGCACTAGTAGAAGATCTATCATCCGGATTGCCGGCTCAGTCTGCGTCGGCATAAGCACAAAGAGAAAGAGACAAATGCGTGGCGTAGAGGACAATCCTGTCTGGTCCATAGGAGGTGACCGACCGTGTCACTTGCCGGCTGCAGGGGCAGCATCCTCTTCGATATATTGATTTAAGTGTGAACCAAACAGAAGATCAAGAACTTGGTCTCACCAAATCAGGTAATTCGACCCATCTAATTTTTTGGGAACTATCTAGTGTTGAGCATGATCAGTCCGTCGGGTGTTAAAGTGTTGTTAACAGAGGTAGGGAAGGTGTTTGGAGTGGGTATAGATTGGATAGTGAGAGGGGTTTTCAGGTCTTCTTGTTCCTGGAAGCCCTCTGGGCGTGTGGCTATGTTTCCACCACCAGCCAAGGAAGAGGGGCTGGTGAAAGCTCTACAGCTCTGATACCATAAAAGAGTCTAAGAAAGAAGAAGTTTTCAGAATGATTTGGATGATTATTTTCACTGATCTGTGGTGGTATTAATACAATAAGGGAGCTATTCTATAAGGAAATATTCTAACATAATTACTCTAATAAATACAAATACATCTTTCTTAATTACAGTGATACAATGGTAGATAATGTTTTATTTCCTTTGAGAAGAATCCTGGGATATGTTTCCTTCTATACTACCAAAATCTGTTACATAAGTAAATTGGCTCCATGGGATTCCTGGAAGGCAGCTACTATTAACTCTAAAAACACTCATTAAATAGAATGTTTTTATGCAGATAAAGCTATGTATACATAACCTCATGTAATAGAAAGAATGTGATTGCAGTACCTGAGGAACAACAGCAAATAGGAGAGCCCGTATTTTCAGTAGAACAATGTTGCCACCTTGAATAAGTGCCTCCACTTGAGCGACAGCTTCTTGTAATGTTAATAGCTGCTCCACTGCATTTTTAGGTGGGGGAGTGTTGACTTTCAATGGTTCCAATGTTGATCCCTTCCGTGCAAGTCTGCGCCAGAGCATCGCCACCGCAAACAATACCATTATGCTGGGCAGTACATAAGTAATACATCCCCTAAATATAAAAGTGAATGCTTTTAGGATATCCTATATACCAAGCTAGGAAAACAGTAAAAGTGTAGAAATAAGGGATATCTTCAGACCAACAGCTCTATTTGGTACACATCTTCAGAGTTCAGACTCTACAAGCCAAGTTAAACAAATCTTTGTTCATTTAGCCAATATAAAACGATTTCATGACACTTCCATCTCAATTGATAAGGAAACTACCAAGAGCTCTGTCCTGAATAACCAGAGGAATGAAGGGCACTAGTATAGGGAATCTAAATTGAAAGACTACAGATAAAGCGTACATTTAATTTTTGAAACCCTAAATATGACTGATTTGAAGCGCGTGATCAAAATTTCAACCATTTTAGTTTTGTACTATATAGTGGCATTGATATCACGGATCGATTCATGTTAGCCGACCCCAAAATCTTTTGGGATTAAGGCTTGGATGTTGTACTATATAGTGGCTGATTTATCAGTGAATTTAGAAAGACAGAAGTGGAGAAAGAGTATACACGTGGAGGATTGATCTGACACGTGGAGGAATTTATGAATTATTTTTAACTCTGATGTCATATGTCGATTCATCTCAGCTGACCCCCAACTCTTTTGGGACTAAGGTTTGGTTGTTGTTGTTGTTGTTGGTCTTTAGTGGCTGATTTAGGCGTACATAGTATTTCCTCTTGAGTACCCTTACACAACAAATCCACTGAGCCCAATCAGAAGAATGGTGTAATGGTGTATGCAGACCTTACCCCTACCCTTACCAAACCACCACCCCTCTCTGCCTCCCACTGCCCATCGCCTCCCTTACAAACCCAGCCTTGACACCTCTCTATCCTCCCTCTTCTTTTTACCAATCTCTTTTAGAAACTCAAAATCCTGTTCACTTGTTCTTGTTCCCCAAAATGATTAGGAGATGGTCACATTCGGAGGTGATGTGAAACAACTTGGTGGAACTGAAAACAAGATGCGTTACACACCCTAAGAAACTGGAACCCACGAGCAAGCAATGGAACTCCTAAGAGATTTCGTGCTGACTTCCTCTACTTTGGTCACATTTTTTAAGGAATATATTAAAAACAAACTGCCACTTTTATTGATTAAGTCTTCTGACCACAGCTTTTATCATAACTGAAACTGACGGATCCTAAGTGCAATGACCTAGCCCTAGAGTTTCTATACTTTAACATCCCCAAAATCCAGGGAGCATTATAAGCTTCATAACTTCATGAACAAACTTGAAACTTTTTAAAATAAACTTCAACTAAACTCTTCTTGAACTGAATTGATGCTCCATCAAGTATTTGAGATCCTCCACTTTACATTACATTACTTAGTTCATGTTACTTACTTCACTACACTTCAACTTTGCATCACACTAGTGAGGTTTATTTCACTTTACCAAACTCTAATAATTTCTACGTCACTTAAACTTTGCATATCACTAGATGAATAATTTCTAATATTCGACTTTACCGAACTATTTGTTAACTTCACGTAGACCGGGTGCACTTCTGATTACTTCCTTTTTCTTATTTTTGGTGTGCTTCAACTTTGATGAATAAATAACATACGTAGTTATTAAATCCCTTGTTTATATGGTATGTCTAGTCGACCGAGTTTCACTTTAGTCATTCTTTGCAAAACAAATTTCGGAAAATATACCTTCCACAATCTAATACTCTGTAAGTAAATTAGACAGAGGTCCCCGGTGGATGAGAAACAGAATTGGATGATTGGTCATGCGGAGGCAGCTGGCAGTGGAGTTTTAGTCGTTCGGACATGCCATGATTCTGAGAAAAATGCAGTGACAATTTTGAGGGCAGTGTTTTTACCAACAATGTGGCTACTGTACAGTAGACAACAAAATACAGAGAATAGAGCTACAATTTAAGAGGTTTATTGTGACAGTTATAGAGTTTGCCTCTTGCCAAATAACAAAAACTGTTAGGACTTTGGGTGATTTAAATATTAATCCTAATAGGGATTTCTCTCAGGTGTATGTCAGGAGGGCTAAAAGGGGGAATAGGGGCGTAACTAATTAGCTGAGCAGGGAGGACCACTATAAAGGGAATAAATAGTCTAGTGAGAGGAGAGAGGAGATAGGCTGGAATTCAGTTTAGAATTGGAGAGCACGGCACTCTCAAATTGCCGATTACTTTTTTTTGTGAATAAGATGTCAATCAGGGAATCAGTAGAAAAATATCTTTGTTATCTTATTGAATCTTTGTAATTATAGGAAGATTTTATTAGGCATTGAGTGGAGGGATATCTTGCATTAATTGTAAGAATCCCTTGATTTGTTTCCTTGTACATATATTCACATGTTGCCTATATAAGTGTAAATAAATGGCTGAGCAGGGCAGCTCAAGTTTTCCAGAATTCCCAGTTCTTAGTTCCTGATTTAATCATTTCTGGTACAATTCGTGACATGGTATCAGAGCCATAAGCATTTTTTCAGCAGTTATTTTTTAACAAAAACCCTAAAATTCTCTTGGGTTTGTTCTTGGAATTCTTGCTCGACGTCTCAGTATTTTTTGTTTTAAACACAAACCTAGGGTTTCCTCTCAAATTCTGTCATCTCAGCACTTAGTTCCAACTATCTTCTATCTCAGATCAACAAATTTCTTTCTCAGATTTATTCCGTTCTCTTGTAGTTATCATGGATAAACTAGAAAACTAGTGTGTTCGATTTGATCACAAGAATTATGTTACTTGGGCATTTCAATTTGAAACCTTTCTGAAAGGAAAGGACTTGTGGGCTCACGTGGATGATTCTTCCACACAGAATTCTGCCACTCAGGATGAAACTTGGGTGGTGAAAGATGCTCAAATTCGCAGTTGGATATTAGGGTCACTCGATCCTCATAATATTCTTACCTACGCCCCCATCGCACAGCTAAAGCCATGTGGGCTTATCTGCACAAGTTTATCATCATTGATAAAGTCCATCAATTTCAGTTGGAGTTGGGTATTTCTAACTTTCAACAAGGTTCCTTAACTGTTCAGCAATACTATTCCAGTCTTTTAGCACTTTGGACTGAATTTATCGACTTATGCCTAGTTGACGGGCCTGAAACTGCTGTTAAGCCTCTTCGGGATATGTTATAAGCCCGACAGCGCAGGCAGTTCTTCATGAAACTGCGCTCCGAGTTTGAAAACATTCGGTCCTCATTATTGAATAGGAATCCAGTTCCCTCTCTGGAAGTTTGCCTTCGGGAACTCCTTCGTGAAGAGCAGCATCTACTTACCCAGGCTACCTTGGAACAAGGTCACTCTCCTGTTGCATATGTCACTCAAGCTAAGTCTCACTCTAGAGATATGAGTGCCACACAGTGTTATTCTTGCAAGAATTACGTTCACATTGCGCAATATTGCCCTAATAAAATTTGCTGTTATTGCAAGAAGCTCCGACATATCATCAAAGATTGCTCCATTCGTCCACCCCATAGGAAAATTTCGCATATCAGGACAGAAGCTGTGGTCACTTCTCCAAACATGTCAAATACTCCTGTCTACTTCTGCCACTTCTATTACACCTGAAATGGTACAGCAGATCAAATTTCTGATTTCTCAGCATTGGGAATTCAAGGTAACTCTTTACCCTATTCTAATTGGTTTCTAGATTCTGGAGCCTCCAATCATGTGACACATTCAGTACATGGACTCAATAATATTCTCAAATATGATGGTTCTTTATCTATTGAAACTGCCAATGGTAATAAGCTGCCTATTAGTGCAATTGGTGATATTTCTCATCGGGTTAAAGATGTATTTGTTTGTCCCAAATTATCTACAAGTCTTATCTCTGTTGGGTAACTTCTTGATGATAAATGTGACATGAAATTCTCTTGTGATGGTTGTCTTGTGTAGGATCAAGTGTCAGGGGAGCTAATAGGAAGGGGCCTAGGTTTGGACGTCTTTTTCCTTTACACTTTCCTAGATATAACTCAGTTTCTACTTTTGCATGTAATTAAATTCAGGATCGGTGTGGCATAGGAGACTTGGCCACCCGAATCCTCGAGTTCTTTCTCATTTGTTACGTCTTGGTCTTTTGGTAATAAAGAGAATATGTTTTCTCATTTTGACTGTAAATCATGCAAACTAGGCAAAAACAAAGTTATTACTTTTCCATCTAATGGTAGTCGTGCTTCCCATTGTTTTGAGCTCATTCATAGTGATGTTTGGGGAATTTCTCCTGTTGTGTCTCGTTCTCATCACAAATACTTTGTTACCTTTATTGACGATTCTAGTCGTTACACTTGGATATATTTTCTTCGATCGAAGGCTGATGTTTTCAGAACATTTCAAAATTTTCTTGCCTTTGTAGAAACTCAATTTTCCTCAAGTATCAAAGTTCTTCGTACTGATTCTGGTGGGGAGTATATATCTCATGAATTTCAAACATTTCTTGAATCCAAGGGAATCCTATCTCAACGATCATGTCCTTATACTCCTCAACAAAATGGCATTGCGGAACGCAAAAATCGCCATCTTCTTGATATTGTTCGAACCATACTCATAGAATCCAAAGTTCCTACTCGATTTTGGGTTGAAGCTTTGTCTACAACAGTTTACCTAATAAACCGACTTCCATCACAGGTCTTGGAGTTTGAATCACCTTATTTCCGTCTCCATAAACGTCATCCAGTGTCACCCTTTTGGTTGTGTGTGTTTTGTTCATCTTCCGCCCACAGAACACCATAAACTTTCTGCCCAGTCTGCTCATCGTGTCATTTGTGTGTTTCTAGGATATAACATTAGTCAAAATGGATTCATGTGTTTTGATCCGCAAGAAAACAAGTTGCGAGTCTCCAGGAATGTTATATTCTTTGAAAATCAGTATTTCTATCATACTTATTTTACCAATAACTCATCTTCTGCCATATTACCTACGTTTGAAAGTATCTCTAGTCCTCCTACTCCTCTTAGCACTAGGTTCAAAGGAATAGTGTATCCAAGACACCGTCCGCCAGACTCTTTGTCACCTCCCTCCCTGTCATCTGCCAGAGCTTCCTCTTGAGGATACGAGCACTGTGGATGCTCTTGCTGCTACAGTAGCATCTGTTGTTATTCCCTCTTGTTATTCACAGGCTGCCAAACATAAATGTTGGCAAGAAGCAATGCAGGAAGAATTGCGAGCTCTGGAAATTAATCGGACATGGGATGTTGTGTCCTGTCCTCCTAATATCACTCCTCTAGGACCCAAGTGGGTGTATTCGGTCAAAGTTAGATCTAATGGCATAATTGATCATTATAAATCACGTTTGATGGCACTCGGTAATCATCTTTGCCAAAGATGACCACAATTTATGACATAAGAGGCCTCTTTCTCCATTTCCATTTGTATTACCTTGTTATTGTTGTGGATATTTGCGTGTTATATCAAAAACAGGTTTCATTTTTTAAATATATAATTTGGAACCTCAAACAACTGATGGAATAACAAACTACTCCCTCATTAATTGTCGTTTTTGCCATTTTTTTGTCCCAGAAGAATTCTCATATCAGGAGCTCAATGCATATTTTGTGCTAATCTCCCAAACATGTTTATATTTACTCTTCTCAAATTGAATCTTTTTAAGCTTTGACAAAAATAAAATGCCTTTACATCAGATTATCATCATCATTACATCAGATAAAAAGGTAATATATACATGTATTTTTATAGCGGAAATAGTACTACTTGTGATGAGGCTTTTGACTTTACACCTTAATCATAATAAGTTCATAACAATAGCTCACCTAAAAGCTAGCTAACAAACATAACATATTACACTTTTCTGGCATTTAATAATACTAGTCTATTTTGATAATCAAATATTTAATAATACTAGTCTGTTTTGAAAAGGCATAAAAAGATGATAGGATCCTCCAGAAAATACAGCAATTACAGGAAATTACTATCAAGAAACAATTGGAAATTCTTATTAAGGAAGATGAACAGTACAAGAAACTATGGCCGAAGCCCCCAATGAGCCGAAGCCCCCCAAAGAAAGAGAATAGTTCTCGATCTCCCAAAGTCCCAAAATGACAAATGTCTAAAACCAGCCTCCTTACTATTCCCAACTTATTTCTATTTATACTAGTCTATTACACTTATTAATATTCTTGGTCTATTAGGCCCAATTCTTAACAATCTAGTAGGCCCAATTCCTAAGATAGGTAGATCCCTATCAATACTCCCTCCCTAAACATCCACCTTGCCCTCAAGGTGGGTGATAGGAAACAGCCAAGACTTCCTCCTTTCCCCTCATCCTAGTCCCCCTTCCCTTCCAATACTTGACTGACTGCTGGATCATGAGCTTTACTACTTCTATCCTCTGCCATAAATACTTTGCAGCAGAGTTACACAGGTGCCATATCATTTTATCCAAAACATTGATTCCTGCAGCTTCTGTGGAGACTAAGGTGCAGCCTGTTGCAACATAGGGGACTGCATTCTTTGATAACTCCTGGTAGTTCAGCCCTTTTCCTTCTCCATTCTTATTTATCAGGCTCTTCATGTCCTTATAAGCTTCCAGTTGCCTTAATAAAGAGTCTCCTTGTATATGTACCTTCTGCCCATGCACCTCCCATTGGAGGGTCTGATTCCGAAAGTTAACTGCCATATCTCCTAGGCCAGCTAACCATTCCATTCCCAGCATGACATCAATTTCCCCCAATTTCAGAACGTAGAATTTCTGCAGAATTGCATTACCTTGTACATCCACTGTCAACCCATCACACCTACCATAGTTGGGAAGAAATTCCCCATTCCCTATCTGCACCTTATTCCCCTTAATGCAATTAAAAGGTATATTCCATTCCTCAACAATCTTCTGTGAAATGAAATTGTGAGTAGCTCCACAATCAATCAAGATATTCACCTTCTTTTCCTCAGTCATCCATTTCAGATTTCCCAGGACATTGAATGTTCTCATGGGTGGTGTTCCTTCTTTGTCCACTACAGATAATTGCATAGTCTTAGCTTCCATATGTATTCCTTCTTCTCCTTTATCTTTACTATAATCAGTATCAGATTCCTCCTCACCTTCAGATTGTTCTACCAGCATCATTGTAAAAATTTTCATTCTACAAATGTGACCCCTGTTCCAATTTTCGCCACACTTGAAACATAACCCTTTTTTACTTCTTTCTTGCAGCTCACTCTGTGATAATCTGGGACTTGTCTTCATAGAAACAGAACTTGATCCTTCTTCCAGCTTCTTGCTACCATCTGAGTTCTTCATCAATTGATTTGTAGATGCCAGATTATAACTATTTCGACTACCATCTCCCCATTTAGGATAGCTCTGTCCTGTTTTTCTTCCTTCCTCTTTATTCTTAACAATCAAGGCTTCAGAGTTCTTGTTCTCAATTAAAGAAGCCACATCCATAACTTCAGCCAAAGTTCTTGTAGAGTGTAGCTTCAACTCAGCTTTTACATCACGCTTGAGGCCCTTAAGAAACGCTCCTTTCAATACCTCTTCAGTTAAGTGTCCATGTGTAGCAATTGCAGTCTCAAATTTGTCTCGATATTCCTCTATGGTATTTTTCTGCTTCAAACTGAATAAAGGCCCCAGAGGATCCTTGACCATGCCTGGCTGGAAGCGTCTGGTCAATGCTTGAGTAAAAGAGTTCCAGTTTTGATGCGTAGCCTGCCTCTCCCACCATTGAAACCAGCTTAAGGCCTGATCTTCCATGGCCACGACTGCAACGTCAATCTTATCCTCTTCTTCAGTCCTATTCAAGCGGAAGTAGCGATTCATTCTGACTAACCATCCGCCTGCGTCTTCCCCATTGAAAAGAGGTAATTCGATTTTCCTTCCTATCGGAGGATGATTTCGATGATACCTGTGGTGATCGCCGTGTTGATGTCGACGTGAAGGAGAGTAATCCGAATTGTTTTCCGATCCTTCTGAGCTGGTTGCTTGTCGTGAACTATGATGGTGAGTTGAACGATGATGGTGAAGTGAACGATGATGGTGAGGCGAATGGTGATGATATTTGTGCCTTCGACGATGTCCGGAATCATGTTGATAGGCTGTAGGGTTTGATTCATACTCCGAACTTTCTGAACTATCGTCATTCTTCGCATAGCGCCGGTGAGATGATCGATGCGACGTACTCGATCGATGTGAATGGCTCCCCGACCGTCCCGATCGATTGACCTGCAACCTTGCGATGTCAGTTTGCATCGCCGCCATTCTCTCCAACAGCGTATTCTGTATTTCCTGCAGATGCCTCTCAGTCCTCGTCTCCATCTCTCTCTGATTCCGCTCCACATCGTTAATTCTGCCTTCCATTTTAGCGCGCGTAATTCTCATCCAGGGATCGAACACGCTCTGATACCAATTGATAGGATCCTCCAGAAAATACAGCAATTACAGGAAATTACTATCAAGAAACAATTGGAAATTCTTATTAAGGAAGATGAACAGTACAAGAAACTATGGCCGAAGCCCCAAATGAGCCGAAGCCCCCCAAAGAAAGAGAATAGTTCTCGATCTCCCAAAGTCCCAAAATGACAAATGTCTAAAACCAGCCTCCTTACTATTCCCAACTTATTTCTATTTATACTAGTCTATTACACTTATTAATATTCTTGGTCTATTAGGCCCAATTCTTAACAATCTAGTAGGCCCAATTCCTAAGATAGGTAGATCCCTATCAAAAGATAAAACACAAATATAGTAAGAGTGTGGTTACGATATAGGCAACAACACTTACTTGATTGTAGCATAGCAAATACACATCAGAAATGTCACTGATTTCCAGGGATCTTTCCACGATGCCAAATATTTAAGGTGATTTAATAATCCAATAAGAGGAAAAAGCAATTCCTGTAACGGAAAAGAAGCTGACTTATCGTCCCCATGACTACATGAGTGAAGTGGAAATAATCTAGTAATCAACAGTAAGCTCAATGCCAATACCAATTAAAAATACGCAGTGTACTAGAACCGTGTTGTCATTAGGTCATAATAATAATTGTTGCTTTATTCATAGAGCACTTTTACGTAGTTCCAACTGCTTCGTTATGTAGTTTACTCCAAGATATTGGAAGAATAGTGCACAAAAAAATTTCCTCCTAGTATACAGAATAGCTTGCACAAAATTTGTAAAGACTGTATTTTTTGTTGTTGTAAAGACTGTATTATATTATGTTTGCAAAATGCAAGTACACCATGAATTCATACAAGGCTACAATGTTAAACACGTTTTAGTTTCAACTTTTTTCCTCCAGATAATCTTAGACATCTAATTCGATATATTCTTCAATATAGCTACAATATCCACTAAGTATCTTTTAATAGCTACCAGCATCTGGATCATTACGTCCTGAAGGATAACAACATGAAAAGCAAGAATCACGATGGAGATTAATTAATTAGATTTTACGTAACCTGCATTACTGCTAAATTGGAGTCAATGCCTTCCACTTTAACTCGATCAATAGTTTCTTGTGCAGCTTCAGCTCTCCCTATGTCCTTTCTGGACATCTTGACTGCAACTTCCAGAGGATGTGTTTCACCAACACAAGCAATACCAGCTTCAGATGTTACATCTTCCATGAACACATCCTTCAATGAAAGAATTCCAAGTCTGTGAAGCATACAGTGTGAAACTGGGGCCTGTTTTGTAGCTTTTGGAGAGACAAGAAAACTACGACGAAGGCCAGCAGAAGTCATGACTACCAAATGATTTGAGAGCGTTTCCAATATAGCATCACCACCTGGAAGACTTTCCGCCAAGTTAAAGCACAACAGGGTGTTGTAATTGGATGGAGAAAAATGGAAAGCCTCTCTAACTGCTCGATATCGAAGAATCCCTAGAAGTGCACGAGCAAGAGCTTCAAATCTCGCGCAATCAGTGAGGTTATATCTGCGAATGAACTTATGAGCACGTAGAATTTCAAGACATATATCCAACCAATAGTCACGCCTTGAGCTTCCTTTAAATTCAGGGAATTCAAAGCATACAGGTTCAGCCCTGTAGAAGATTAGAGTCAGAAGTCTTTCATGACTGGCATAGAAAATGTCAAAGTAATCATTGAACTCACATAGATGAAGACTTGTACATCACTGCTTTATCAAAAATGCGAGCGCCAAGTGGTCCAGTTAATTCAGGCTTGATAACCTGTTCCATATCAATCGCCAGATCATATCTCAGAGCTTTGTCATATAAACCAACTCCAGGTTCAAAATAAAGAGCATGATTGCTCAAAGAAAGCCGTCCTGATGGGAAGCGAAAGCAAAATCAAATATATATCAGATGTTGCATGTAAATATGCAATGAACAAGTTGGTAGATGCAGGATAGGAGCAGTTTTCTTAAACAAGTAGGCAGAATACGAACTTGCAATCATAGACTTGAAATGTTGAGAATTCATCTATTTTATGTTTTCAAAATGTTTAGAGAGTAAAGCAGTAAACATGAGACAATCCTGGTCAAATATCATTCAAAGCAACTAACTTCGTAAGTGTATCCTGTAGTTGTTGCACATCTACTGATAAATTCATGGTGAGAAGTTTGTGTTAATCACTTAAGCTTTTCCTTTATAAACCCAATCAATCCCTGCAATTCTGATATAGCAGTGTCTTTTTTTCATTGGAGACAAAACATTATAAAGATGTTGATAGCATCAAATATTATTAGTATGAAAAGACTTGACATACACTTCCCCATGTGTACAATCTGAGCTCCCAACGTGCTTACATGGCTATTTGGCAAATCCTACATAAATCTAATAAGACTTGCCCACTAATTATAAGCAACAGATAAGTATAACAACAGTTAGCAACATGCCAACAATAATAATCTTCAACAGTAAAAAATGTATTATACAAAAACTAATAACTAAGTATAGATCAAATATAATAAATATTCCCTCTATCCAAAATAAAGAGTCTGTTACATCAGCATTTTTGCCAAAAGAAGAGACATGATTTATCAAAATGAAAATAAATATTCAAATAATTTGCCAAAAAAGAATAAGGATGTTTTTACAGTTTTACTTGGACTGGAATTTTCTAGTCTGGTCTGGTTTGGTCTGGTAAATGTCTGATCTCTATGTATTTTATAATTGTCCAAATCTGGTCTGTTCTGTGCAAGAAACAGTCCAAGTAAAAACATCTTAACACGAACAAGTCTAATGTGAAAATTTTAGTTGAACTATCAAAAAAGCTTTTCAAATATTAATATCATAAATGACATAATTGTGGTACCTTGCCAAATATAAATAAGTTGTACCTTGGTCAAACAAGACAGTTTTTATGGGACGAGGACTAATAATGAAGGCTAACTATTAACCTAAACAATAATCTCATTGTTTTAACTAATCAATGAGCCTAGCTAATAAAATAAAATTTCTTGAGCATATCAATCCCTTTGGATCATGGCCCCTTCAGGTTGTATGGCATGTATTAAATTATTAACCGTGATTCTCTCGTAGAAAGACCACTTTTAAAGTATAGAAAGAGCATCATACGCGTGGCTATCAATTCAAACAAACACCAGCATCAAATTTAAAGAGACTAAGATCACTGCGTAATAGTAGCAAAATTGTATAGCAAAATGTTGTTGATGCATACAATTACTTTATCTAAGGTGTTTTCAATGAGTTCCAGCATCTAAATGTTTTTAATGTGTACATCTAAAAACCATTTGTTATCTTTATTTTGGTTTTTGTGTGTACACCTATATAAATGTACGTAGTATGCATGTATGTACATCTCACCAGGCCAAGCAGATAGTCCAATATGCTGGAATACTGGTTGTGTGGGAACTATTCCATCTACATCTAAAATAACCTCATCCTCCATAAGAGAAAGATTGGACATGTTATGAGAAGCAACTGCATTTACAGCCTTTATCACCCTGTAATGAGAAAAACACTCATGTGGGATAACAAATTAATGGATCACTGCTTAGCCTAATTCACACATTGTTTAACACTTTAACATTGAAGCTATTATTGAAGTGCAGACGAAAGTAAGAATATTTCCATCAGAAAACTTGAACATTCATCATATCTATTTTTGGTGCATCAAAGGAAAAACCACTATAAGTATATAACTCTACTCATCATCAATCATCACCATTATCAATACTTTAATCTCAACTAGTTGGATTAGTTGCATTGAAGTTTATAGTACTAGTTGATTGCATGAATTATTTACTACTATAAATCCATGCAAAATGCAGCACATTAGCAATGTTTTATGCCGGATGCCCTTCGCGTTGAAACCTTCTTAAGAAAGAATATGAGATGAAAATTCTAAAAAAATCATCATCAAAGATGTCCATGTGCACGAGAATATGGTGAGCCACCGATGAAAGAGAACCAGAAAATCATTTTTGAGTGTTTAGATAACATGCTGTTTTAAACTGGTTCATGTATAACAAAAAAATATAACCACTGTATTTTACATGAAAAAAGTAACAAAATAGATCTGCAAAATATCTACACACATCTACATAAAAACTAATGTGCATATATAAACTTGAATATAAATGTATATATATATATATATAGACATAAATATATAATTGTATTTGTATTTGCCCTCCTCAGTCCTCACCATTGTATTACAGCTCATAATTTTATATATGGTGCCATGCACTAGTTGAAATGAAAGTACAAGTGCAAATACAAATATGAATACAAATATAAATAAGATGTTGAATAAAAATGGACAACTAAATAATAATACTAATAGGAAACTACAGCAGCAGCAACAACAACATCCAAGCCTTAGTTTCCTATTGATTTCCTACTAATAGTAGTAATAATAATAGTAATAGATAAGGATTACTAATAATAACACCAAACAAAAATAGTATAAGAGATCGCTCATATGGCAGCAAAAGTGGAACATGAGATCGTTATTCTCCTTAAGATGGAATTCTATAAAAAAAATAAGTTGCATAACAGCAGTGGTAACTTGGCAATTAAGTGGTCAAAAAAGAGCTAACATACTTTTCAAGACTTCGAAGATACTTTTCGTATACAAGAAAGTGAAGTCGATGACCTGATGAACACGTCAAAGCAACAAAAAGATTGCCAACTGTTATTATGTCAGCAACAACAACACAGGCTGGTGCTATTCGTGCAAATGATTCTGCACCAATAGTCTTTTTATCATCAACCTGATGAAAAACAGGGTTAACGATAAAAGTCATTTCGAAGTGCTACACTTTTACAAAAGTATCAAGGTGCAAAAGTTTTTTTTTGGTCTAGAAAAAGAGTGCAAACTAAAGGCCTTTAAAGATTAACATTGGATATATGCACAATGGTACATTTGTTTGGGGTGGAGTGTAGATTAACAAAAAAATCCTCAACAGCCATCTTGGTGGAGCTAGAGTAAAAAATTGACCGGCCATCGTCCTCCCCTTCCTGAACATTAGTAGAACTTTCCTATGAAACAAATACCATTTAGTTACTAACTAAACCAATACACCTAAGTCGCAGCATTATGTCATGAATTAACCGAAAAGGCAGCCAGCTAGAGAGAAGAGGTTTAATAAAATCTTACTGGTTCAACTACTTCATGTTCTCTACTTGGAGCCTCCCAAGCTAGCATCATGTCAAACGTCAATCTTCGAAAGTTATTATCCCACAAATAATTAGTGTGTTTGGTTGTCTCACGGAGTGCTTCATATGAACAGTACTCCAAAAAATTCCTCGCATAGAGTGATGGCTGCTTAAGATTATCAGGCAACTCTGAATCAAAGCGATTCTGCAATTCTTCCAAAGATATGTGAAGGATCCTGTAGTTTTTCAAAACCAGAACATTTGTCAAAAAGTTGAGGGATTGACTCATTGAAGGTCTGAAATAAAGAACTTTGTACTTTACAACTGTTAATGATACATTCTGAAAGTGATATACTCACCTAGATGCGTATCTAGGAAAACTATGGGATGTATAGTGCGCAAACCCTGCCTAGGATTATGTTCAAGTTTCTACATGTCAACACTCTCGAGCTGAATTTTAAAGTTAAAGTTTAACACACATAATCCCCCTTACTCCAAACTAAATAAGACAAACCTATAAAAATCATCTATAGAATATTAGGAACATGGTATGAATAGCCTTGGAGAACGCAGCATTATGCACAACCTTTGGGAGCGAAGGTTAAACCATAAGGATCTAAGCTGAGCATGAACCAACTGAAAACAACATGTGAGTATGTGACACAACAACATATGTACTCTACGGCATGACACTGAAAAGAAAAGACTATTATTTACCAAAAAGGTAAAGCAAACGTGACTAGGGCTGAGTATTTGAAATACAGCAACCAAAAGAATAGAAGGTTTTTGGAAAGTAGGAAGCAACACCAGTCAAACTTCTTATGCTGAGCCACCAGAGAATGATGAGCCTAATGGTGTAAGAGGTGAGATGATTGGACCACAAAAAAGTTCTAAATAAAAAATCAACTGCTGAGTACATACATACATGTATGTATGCATGTATGTATGCATGAAAGTACATATTTGTGTCATTGTGTGTATGGTTTAGTTGTGTGTTTTCTTGCAATGCTAATGCCAAGGTTCTGAGCATGATGGCAATGTACTGATGTTAATTTGCAAAGAAGCCTAGACTAATACTAGGAGTAGAGTAATCCAATCCTTAGTCCCAAAAAGTTTGGGACTAAGACTGACACTGTAAAAGCTCAAAATATACTAGCAAATGTACAAAGAAGTGTTTTTCCTTTTTCACAAAATAAAAACTAAAGGTTCCCAGTTGGGATGATTGTGGGAGTCGCTTGAAATTATGGTTCTAAAATTGTTGAAATTGAAAGATTGAAGGTATGGCTCGTGGGTCAATCGGGTCATTTTGTGTGTGTTTTTGTCTCTCTCTCTCTATATATATAGAGAGAGAGAGATACGGAAGATAGTAGACAGATATATGCGTGTCAGTCTGTATACGTACATATATATATATATATATATATATATATATATATATATATATATATATATATATACATACATACATATATAATATGTATGAATAACATATATACATATGTACACACAAACATACATGCATATATAATATAGGGTTTTTCTCTAATGTGTGCCCCTGCACACATCATAAAAATATAATAATGTGCTTCATTTTCAAGTTTCAAAAATGTCAAATAATTTCAAGAATGGTTACTCTGTAATACAGAGTGCATTTAACAACATTCACAAGAATAGTAGTTAAAAAAAACAATAAGAATTAAATACTCATTTATTGCTTATTGTTGTCTGCCCTTAGGGCACACTTTAGAAAAAACAAAAAACACATACACCCACACACATGTCTGTCGACCTTATTAATAACATATTGTTATGTTGTGATTGATGCATCCCAAGGGCGATATAGATGCTGATATAGCAGAGGTATGTGCTATTTAATGAGCTTGCCTAATGGCTACTGTTAGAGCTACACTGAGGTTTCTACATTTTAGAAACTCAGCATGTTTACCAACCAAAGATATTACATTATGGAAAAAGAACTTCTCTGATATTACGCGAAAGAAGATAAACGTGATGTCAAAGGGTTTACTGGAAAGAGCACCATTCGAGATAAGATATGTCTCAGTGAAGGAGAAAATGAGGGTTGCTTATTTATTAGAGGAGCAGAGAAAAGATGCAGGGGTCTCCTCCAATGCAGTCATGTGAGGGATGAGCCTGGACACTATCGACATCCATCATTCCACAATACAATTACAATTCACAATTTCAGTATTTCATATTTAAGAAGAAAACAAACTTACAACCTTTTCATTCTTTTACAATAAAAACAATAAAATGAATCTGAACACACTTTTCTCTAAAGATGGTTTGGGTAACTAAAGCATCAATATGTTCATGGTTTTTGCTACTTTTTAAATTTCGAAAATATATATATATCAATTTTGAGATGAGGCAACATATTAAATCTATGGACTGGTGATGTAAACAGATATATGACTCAATTTTTGTTCCACATCAATTTCCGCGCATGACAAGTGGAATTATTCCTGCATTAACAATAAGTCAATAAACTAACACTAAAATATTTTCAAGCATGAAAGCCAAGATATCGTCTCACTAGCAACTTGAAATTTATGATGATAGAAGAACTCAGAGCAATCCGATGACCAGACCAAAAGCATAAGCAATTGAATCAGGGATAAACTTAGAATGTAAGTGCTGGGAAATATCTACTGACTTAGAGCAGCGAGACGCGACAGAATTTGCGAGAGCGGAGAGAAACGGCAAAGGGGGATTAAGCGAAACATCACCGTCAGCAACTGTTTCTCCGTCTCCAACTTTTTTGCTCTTGTTTCCATTGATTGAGAAGAAGGATTTCAACAGCGAAAGAGCATTATTGTTGGGAGAGCCATGATCTTTGTTGCTCCTCTCCTCTGCATCCGATCCCGTACCCGTACTAGTCGTCATTTCTCATTCGTTCGGTTCTTCAGTTGAGATCTATCAATCTAGCGATAGGGACCGTGCAAAAATAAAGGCGGGTGGGAGTACATATTCCTCCATCGGAAAGGCGGGGGGTTGTACCAGTTGCGTGCATTTCGGTTAAGCTTGCGTTTCCGTTAAGAGGATCTATTCATACTGTTCAACCAAAGGTTTTCCATATGCAACTATATTGTTTTTTAGGAAAGAAAACTTATTTAGTAATAATAAAATCAATATATCAATATATATATATATATATATATATATATATATATATATATATATAAAAGAGTAACTTTTTAACAGCATACAAAGCGCCACATAATCGTGACATGTCATTATATATATTAATTATTTAATTATTTTTATATCTTCTATTTTTATTAGCTAGATTCTATTTTTAAAAGAGGAACTTCTATATATTAGCTAGATTCTATTTATTACTTTCTATATATATATAAAAGAAGAATTTTTTAAGAGCATACAAAGCGCCACATAATCGTGCCATGTCATTATATATATTAATTATTTAATTATTTTTATATCTTCTATTTTTATTAGCTAGATTCTATTTTTAAAAGAGGAACTTCTATATATTAGCTAGATTCTATTTATTACTTTCTATATATATATAAAAGAAGAATTTTTTAAGAGCATACAAAGCGCCACATAATTGTGTCATGTCATTATATATATTAATTATTTAGTTATTTTTATACCTTCTATTTTTATTAGCTAAATTCTATTTTTGATTGCATATTGATATGGAAACAAAAATTCATAGAAATCCACCTTAATTAATTTGGTAACTTTTTCAAAACTCATTACGTATTTGATAAGTATTAAATTCTGTAATTAGAACCACAACAATTAATAACTAAATTTTAAGCACGGACTCACAGAGTAACAATTATTTAATTATTTTTATACTTGTTTAATTTTTATTACATTCTATTAAAGAGATGAAGTGTTCGTTTTTTGCCCACTTAACAGATAAATCAGCCAAATTGCTATTATTTTTGTCTTCAAAGTAATTTGACAAAAATAAAAATGTAATAATAGTGTCATATTTCCTAAAATGTAATAATTTATTTTTCTAAACTCAATGTTGAGATAATGATTAAAATTATTTTTTTGAAAGAGAATGATTAAAATTCTAAGCCCCGAATTTGCAATTTTGTTAATACCTCGCATTTGCTCCATCATCATACAATTCTTTCTTAATTATTAAAATAATGATAAAAATTGTAACCACCATATAATTGAAATTTAAAAACGAAATTAAAACTATTAGATATTCTAATATAGAATCTAAAAAAGAATGAGTTAAATGTAACATCTTATTATTAAAAGTTAAAAGTATGTACTCAGTATTTCACATCAAGTAGAATGAAGAATAGTAGAAGAAAAGACTTGAGGTGCATAATAAAGTAATTTAGAGGGCGTGAGATTATGAATTCTTTAAAATCGGGTTCATAACAATTATATTTACTTGAGATTCTTATGTAGAAGATCCATTTGACTATTTTTCATATAATCTTTTTTGGCTTCACAAATAGAATATATTTTAAATATTTTTTTCATGATTCAGGAGATTCTACCCATTTAGCCCATTCAGCCAGAATTTAATCAATTTCACTAAAATAAGTTAATTCGATTTAATTTATTATTATCAAACAGGCTCTATATTAGACTAAGTTTATTTTTCTTTTAAATCACATTGCATATATCTGAAAGAAATCAAATTTCAAATTAGCTAAATTATATACTGCCCGTGCATCGCACGGGCTTAAAAGCTAGTTGTCGCATTATTGTTACACATTTTTTAACAATCTTAAAATTTCATTCAAAATAAAACAATCGAAATTTAGAATTATTTATTACTAACAATACTCATATAATTAGTTTTTGTAAGATATGAATTAAACGTATTTTAATTAGGAAAAATTCACATAAATAATCCCAACTATTATGGTTCTTCCGATATTAATCCTACTTATGCGTAATTTGATAATAATCTGAAGTTCAGTGATGGTCTTCTATCATTGATTTCAGGTGACCATGAACCTGCATAACCGGTAAAAACAAAGAAAAAAACAAAATTAATGAACAACCAAGCGGAGGCTTTCTCTCGCGGCAGGACTAAGCATTGCGCATGGCTGGAACCAAGCTAATGAGACGATGGCTATGGAGAAGACGACTAAGAACCAATTTAAGTTTTATCGAGAACTGGTTAATGCCCAATTCTTCCGCACATCTAGCTTCCCTCGCTCTCCTATCTTTTTCTTCATTGGAGCGACGCCGGTAGTAGCAGGGTGGGACGGAACTTCGGTGCGGCTTAGATGGGATGGAATCCATCCGTTGTTCCTTCTCTCTGTATCTAACGCTAGCTACCTCTCCATCTTCTTGATTTTTCCATTTGACAGAAAACTATTGGATGCCCAGCGGCTCAAGGAAGGACGAAAAGGAACTCAGAAACACGATGGGTAGGATGGAATGAAGGATCTTGAAGAAAGATAGATGAGGATGAAGCCATGGAACCCCTTCATCATTTTTTTCATTGTCGGCAGCCGGCCATCTTCCTAGTTTTTTAGTTGGCAACCCTAGACACTCAACAAAGAAGAAGAGGCCAAACCCTGCGAAATAAAGGAAAGAAGATAAAAATAAAAAAGAAAATTTAAAAACATATGAAAACGAATGAAAAATTGACACATGTACAGGCGACCTGTTGGATAGGTATATGGCAGTCACCGACTTAATGTAAGAAGGTTACCAATATAGTTGAGATTGTATTGGAATTACCACTATTTCGGATTAATATCGGAAGAATGCTGATAGTTGGGATTATTCATGTGAATTTTTCCTTTTAATTATGATCTAAAATAGCCTCTTTCTTCACTGTTAACCTTTCATATAATCTGATAAGTCATTTAATTAATTTTTGAACAAACTTACAAATGAGGATGTCCCAAGTATTAGGAAACATGGAAGGATGTAGTGATGCTCACTACACTTTAAGTTTTTTTAAGAAATTGACTTAGATTAAAAACAAAAATTTAGATAAACTGCAATATGGTAACAAGTCCTTTTTTATCGTCAGCTCTCGAACCAAACCATAAGTTAACCACCTTGCAAAAGGTAATATTACTCATTGATGCTAAAATGGGCACAAATGAGCCAAATATGGGCACATTTGCGGATGATCACCATAATATGCAAAATACAATGAATACCTAAAGCGAAAAAAACTACAAGAATATCCAGTTTAAATACAAAAACAAAATTTATAGCATAACAACTCGAATTAAAAGACCACCCATAGTCAAGAGGGGCTAAAAACTTACAGCTTCAAAGATAGAGATTCTTTAGACACCAAAGCAAATGTATCACAAAACCCGCCTCTTTTCAGTTTTTTTTACTCAATCCGCACGAACATGCCGCCTATTCCCTAAATCCTTCCTCCACCAAGAATTTGTTATACGTATGTACAATATTCTGCATGCAAATGAAATAATAAATAAATAATAAAGGAAAAACGTAAGATTACTTGTAACCGAGCCCAGCGTAAACGTTGTTTCCTTAAGACGTTTTTGCCCGACACACGTAGCAAGCATCTCCCAGGATAGAACGGCTCTTCGCTCCCAACGGGATTCCGGCGAACTCAAAGATGCAACGAAGGAAGAGAGAATATGGATGATTGTTTGTGAATTTTCGGATCGAATGAAAATGCAGGCAATCATGAGTATATATAGAGCTCTGATTAGAAGACTCTACACCTAAAAGGCACCTTTAGAAAGAAATGTTGTGACCCTCCTTCTAAAAACAAAGGATGTGTGTATTGCCAAACATTATTCAAAATTGAGAGCGACTAATAGAATTATCTTTAAGCCATATACTCGGGCGGACGGTTTAAGAATCTAACCCGAAACCCGACCCGGCCGACTGAACGTCGGCGACGGTGTTTGCGTGTGAGATATAATTTCACACTTATCTTTCGGGAAACAATTTCTCATTCACTTCAAAATGGTGTTTTTACAAATAATATTAATGACCATAATATTAATTTGTAAAACCATTTTCCAACAGAATCCCCATCCATGGATCAACAGAGCTTCCACCGCCGCCCTTAGCCCCAACAACTAGGGCTGAGCATGGGTCGGGTTCGGGCGGGTCTGCGTACCCTAAACCCGTTCGAGTTTTTTAAGTTAAATACTAGGCCCGACCCTTTTGATATTTCAAATCGTGTTTTTCGGATATTTGTAAGTTGGATATTATCGGATATCGGATCGGGTTTCGGATATTTCGGTTATATTAAAAAAAATTTAATTGGATAATTAAAGTGTTTGAATGCCCCTTTGACAAAAATTCTACAAACTAGTGCACTAAACATTCAAATTACGCAAATAATTTAATACAAATTGCATAAATAATTACACAAATAAGTGAACACAAGTATTAATTTAACATATTCAAAGTACACACTACATAATTTAATATATTTCGAATATTTCGGTTATATTAAAACACATTATAATTGGATAATTAAAGTGTTGGAATGTCACTTTCACAAAAGTTGTACACACTAGCGCACTACACATTCAAATTACAAAAATAATTTAACACAAATTGCACGAATAATTACACAAATAATTGAACACAAGTATTAATTTAACATATTCAAAGTACACACTAATATATTTCGGATATTCGGGCGGGTCGGGTTGGGATTTTACAAACCCTACCCGCCACCCGATCTAGGCCCAATACTAATCGGATTTTCGGTTTCGGGGTTTTCGGGTCGGATATCCATTTCGGTTCGGATATTATCCGAAAAAAACTTTGGGTTTTGCGGGTCGGTTCGGGTTTTGCTCAGCCCTACCAACAACCTCATGTATCCCAATCTGTCATACTTTACAAAAAGAATTGAGCCAAACAATCCGATCAATTGCCTAGCCACCAGAGCAAAGCATCAGATTGAAATCTGTGTCTAACCATGACAAGAGTCATTCCAAAGCTCCGAAAGACAAAAACGGCGCTAAGTTGCTAACCATTGGTCGGAGAAAAAAACAGACAAGACTAGGTACCTTTCAATTTTTGAATAAAGTCTAGAGTTTCTATTCACAACCCTCAAATTACTAAATACAACCTC